TCCACGGTGCGCAGCTCGAAGGGGATGCCGTTCTTCTTGGCGAAGATGTAGACGGCGCGGCAGGGCTGCGACATCAGGTCCAGGTAGAGCTCCAGGACCATGGCGGCAGGCAGGCCCAAGATGAGGAGGCCGACCCCGGGGACGGGACCGGGAACGGGAACAGGAACGACGGGCAGGAACCGCCAGACCACTCGAGCCTCCCGAGGCTCGCAGCCCCGCGCCCGAGCCGTCACGCCCTCCGCGCCTATTGGACAGCTCCGGGGAACTTTGGACCAATCAGCTGCGCCCCGATCTCTCTCCTGCCAGCTCACGGGATCTGCGCCGCGAGTCTCTTTCTTGGTGGGAGGCCCGGGGAGACTTAGACTCGGAGCTGGGGTCTTGCGGCCTTCTCTGGACCTCGATGTCTACCTCTGTCAAATGGGACTGGGGTAATGGTAGTGGGAAACGGGGCGCCAAGGACGGCCCAGCCCCGATCCTCCCAGGGAGGAGGCTGAGGGTGGAAGGAAATCCGAGACACTAGGGAGGAGCAGAAGGAGGGGCATCAATCTCCCCGAGGCCCTGTGCGCAGTGCCCAGGGCGGAGGCTGGGAAGGGTGTCTGGACTTGCTCTCTGCAGAGGCCTAACCCACATTCCAAGAAAGATTTAGCCGGTCCTTCCGAACCCCTGGAGTGTATTCATTACACTCCAGTTAATCCCTCCCAGGGAGCAGGAGCCCTGTGGAGCTCATCTAAAGGTTTGCAGGGGGGCCTAGAACTTCCCACTTGTTCAGCAGGACCAAGTCCCTCCAACAGGCCCTGGAGCTCCTCCGGCATGTGGCTATAATGCCCTATTCTCTAAGAGAGCCTCCTGGGTTAAGAAGACTGCCCCCAAGCCCAAGATAAAGAGAAAGCCACTTGGCAAGAGGATCAGTTACTGGAAATTTTGAGAATATCTTGGCTTCCTTGGTCCCCCGTGTTCCCCATTCCCCAGTTAAGGAAGCCCTATCCCCCCAGGAAAGTGCCTTCCTAGTCTAGTGCTGCAGCCCTCTCCAGGCTGGAAGGAACATGTTCTCCAGCCCCATTCAGTGGTCTGCCTTCCTCCACAAGTCACCTTTGACTGGATTACTGCAATATCCAATCTCCCTGCTTCCTCCCTGGCAACCCTCCAGTTCAACCAGCAGTCAGAATATTCTAAAATACAATCTAAGCACACCATTCCTGTTCATGGTTTACAGATCCTATGTGTGGCACTTAAGGCTCTGAGTGACCATTAACCGTGAAATGCTTGGTCTCTCTTTGACTCCATCTTGTTTAAACCTGCTTTGTTCCCTTGCCCTTCAGGCTAATAGTTTCTGCTGTCTTGCATATAGACATGCTAATCATTAGAGGAATTCTGCTTGAGGTTGAGTTTTACAAAGACAGCCCCTCCCATTTCCCCTTTTCTTGACATAAAAGCAGCCCGAAATATGTACTTTGGTAAGATGGACTTAAAGAACCACTAAGTCTCCCACCTTCTCAGTTGGCACCTTTCCTTACTCCGAACACTAACCAATTTTGAACTTTGGCCTTTTGAAGCATTAGGCACTTGAACTTTAGACAGGTAGCCACCAGGAGGGCTGCTGTTAGGATTTTCCCCTTCCCTGACCAATTCTTCAGGACAAATGCAGGACTCATGACTTAGAGTATTTGGTGCCAAAGGGCAATGTCCTGGGAGGCCGGCCCAGCCAACTGATCTACCACCATGCCTCCAGCCAACACACGGGGGATGCCTGCTGACCCCTATGCTTTCTGATAAATTACTTTCTTGAAGAATTAGAAGGCTAGAGGGCTGTTATTAATTTCACACTTGGCAACCAGCAGGGAGAAGCTGACCCACAGGGCCTAGGAAGGGGGGGTTGTCTTTTGGATAGAGACCAAGACCAGGGCCAGGGCAGAAGAAAGGTCAGATAAATCACACAACAGAGTTAGAAGTAGAGGCTCAGGCTAAGCCTATGTTTACTTACCAAACTGAAAACAAAATGTAGTGATTAAAGGAGACAAGGTCTGAGTGTGCTATTCTCATCTAATGGTTTTCAAGCAGCAGTGGAAGATGGGGTGGGAGTAGGGACCTGGCCTCAGAAGCAATGGGACTCAGGCAAGTCACTCCTGCTTTCTAGGTCTGCCTCCCATGGGTGAACTGCCAAGGGCAGAGCAGGACTGAGGCTTCCTGGCTCATTGGATCATGGCTAGCACCCTAGGCATCAGCTTCTGCTTTAAGACAGGGTCTGGAAGTGGAAAGTTCTTGGCCTTCAAGATGACCTCATGGGCCTCCTGGAAGAGGACTGACCCCACTGCTGCCTCCACGCGCTGGCGCCATGCAGCCAGCTTGGGTCGGCCTTCAAAGATTTGGCAGCCAGCACCCACGGGCTGTAGGGAGATGGGATAGGACAGGGGTGGATGGGTGAGGTCAAGCAACATCTGCCTAGGGTGGGAAGCACACAGCTTCAGAAGAGGTAACCACAAACAAGCACAGTCCCATGGCCAGGTTGGGGTGGCATGAGGAGGACTTCAGCAACCCACCCTGCCTTTGGGCCCACACTGCCCACAACACTCACATGCATCAGCTCCGTGATGGCTACTAGGTCAGCCAGGGAAATGTGGGGCCCTGCGAGAAAGGCCTTGTTCTGGAGGAACTTGTCTTCAAGTATCTGCAGGGTCACATCCAACTCTGCCAGTGTGGCCGCCAGCGTCTTGGGAGATACCGGCTCACCCAGGAAATCAGGAAACATTGTCTGGTGGATGGACAGGCAAAATGGGGGGTTAGGTCCAGCTCAGCCTTGGGAGCAGGGCAAGCATCCCCTACCCCCAGCCTTGGAACTGCTTCCTGGTTCCATACCCCTTTCTTCCATGTCCTGGGAGGGCCTGCGGGGAAATTCCCAAAGGATCCCTCTTTCCTGAAGTATTCCTGCTTCCATGAGCTCTGATTGGCTGAACCTCGGAGGCTTCTGAAGGGCTCAAACCCCTTTAAGAATGACTCAAAGGGAACCTGAACGTTGGTGGAAGGGAGGGGGCTGACTTAGGAACTATCTATTTTATAACCTCCTAATATAAAATCAGTCCCTCAGTATAAGTAATTAGGAGGATGGGTTTTTAAGGTCTCCATTCTATCACTTATAAACTGCATGACCTAGAGCAAAATACACAATCCTCTGAGACTTAATTTCCTCATCTATGATATAGAAATAACACTATATGACTTACATTGTATATAAAAAAGTGAGGTCCAGCCTGGCCAGTGTGGCTCAGTGATTGAGTGTCAATCCATGCACCAAGAGGTTGCTGGTTCAATTCCCCATTAGGGCACATGCCCCATTGTGGGCTCCATCCCTGGTAGGGGCCGTGCAGGAGGCAGCTGATCCATGTTTCCCTCTCATCAATGTTTCTCTCTCTCTCAAAAAAAAAAAAAAAAAAATCAATAAAAACATATTTTTTTAAAAAAGTGAGGCCCAGAAAGAGACAGTCAGTTTCCAGAGATGGCAGAGCCAAGAAGGTTGGTTCAAGCATAGAATCAACATCTTCTGACCCAGTGAGCTACCAGGGAATAAGGAGACTAGCCAGGGGAGAAAGGTATCCAGGATTTAGGGAGGAGGGCGTTTTAGGGCAAAGCCATCAAAAGCCTCAGGCTTGACAGCTCTCAGGGGGGGACAGTGTGGATAGGGAGCTCAGGAGGGGGGCTTCATGCTGAGTTTCATTCTGAGAGCAGTAAAGTTGCTCGGGGGAGCCTGGGATTCAATACAGGTTAAGAGAACTAGGACTATCCTCAGACCCTGGCTCAGGGCTTCAGTTCTCGCCCCCATATAACATGGTAGGATCATAGGTCAACACTCTACCACTGAGCCACACCAGCCAGGCAGTACCTGAGCCTTTCTGAGGCAATGTCCTCACTGCCCCACTCTGAGGGCCTCACCTTATGCCACAGGGTCCGGAGGCAGCTTCTCCGCAGGGTCGTGTGCTGCCATGCCAGATACTCATCCACACGGGCACGAGCCTGCAGGTCCTGAGGGTACCAGTGGTCTGGGACCTTATACTTGCGTGTCAGGTAGAGCAGGATGGCCACACTGCAGGGGAGGGGAGAACATGAGGGCGTTGAAAGGGCATTGTGCTAGAGGCTTTATACAGAGTCCCTTCTTTAATCTTCCTGACAACATGTCAAGGTATTTGCCTTGTTTTCCAGACAAGGAAGCCAGGCTTAGAACAGTGAAAAGACTTGCCCCAGGCACACAACTTTTGGTGGCAGCAGAGCTGACAGTCCTTCTGAGGTTAACACCCAGGCAAAATCCCACAGCAGAGTGTTCTGCCATGTGCTCAGAGACAGTTTCAGATGAAAGGGCCAGAGAGAGCTTCCTGGAGGAGATGGCATCAAAGCTGAGCCTTAAAGAAACTCGATTCTCTCCAGTCCGCATCTACTATCCTTATCTGGCATTCAGACCAGCCTCATAGGGCCTGATTATTCACAAGGCTTTCCTATCATCCGTTTTGTTCTTTGTCACCCCTTTGTGCTCTTGTAGGAAACACTGGGGCTGCTGCAGGATCATGGAAGAGCAGAACAGACCAGGAGCTCTCTTCCTTCTCTGGGTTATCGGGGCTGTCATGGCACTGAGACAGGGATGTACTGGGAAGGGCAGAGAGGATGTGTGAATTTGGGGCTACAGGAAGGCTTTCAGGAACTTGGGGTACTCCAAGAGCTGGGCACCTTAGCCAAAATAGCAGAAAACCTCTGTATCTGCCACTGACCCATCTTCCTATTAGGAAGGAATCCTGCCCCCACACCCCAGCTTAACAACTCACCTCTCTGTGCAAGATACTCTGGAGCAACTTTTGCTCCCAGCTAATTGTTCATGCAGCCTCTGAGGAGGGTGGCAGGTCCCCAGGAGCCACAGATCTCCCGAGGAGAAGAGAAGAGACAGAGACATACTAATATTGCATGACGCCCGTGGCAGATAGCCATGGGTGCTCAACACCAGGCAACGCAAGGTCTCAGGACAGGAGAGGCAACAGGAAGGAAAAATGGCACTGGCAGAAGGTCTGAAGAATTTTTTGAGGTTGCATCTGCCTCTATATTCCAGACATGAGTTCTAAAGCTCCTTCTTGTGGGAGGGGTGGCGTAGGTGGCAAAAGGGGCAGAACCAGGAAAATGTTTGGCCTTCCCTAAAGAGGTTTCCACTTCTTGGGATCTGTTGTGATGTAAAACGTCCACACTCTGGGAGTCCTCCCATAGTTGAGGCCCACCCAGGGAAGCTGCACCTGGGAGATGAAGCCACTGGGCAGACCAGACACCCCTGGGCCATCTCAATGCAAGTTTGGCCAGAGGGACTGCCTGTATGGGGGGTGATGCTACTAACCCCTGCCCTGCAGCCCTGCTCTGGGATACTCTTTCCAACAATCACAAGACTGGTACAAAAGTAAAACACATGCTTGCTTTTCCAACCATCTCTGTGGCTGGTCCAGCAAACAGGTGGGGGCCTGGGGGCCAGCCCTGGCTCTGTGGGATGACAGGCAAAGGGAGCCTTTACATCTGAGGACTTTAATTTTTTGTGTGTGTCTATAAAATAGAGGGTTAGGACAAGATCTGGTAGAAGGTCTGGTAGAAGCCAACAGCTCCAGTTACCTCTCTGTCAAGGTAAAGTCCCCATCCTTCAGGGTAGGGACCTTCTTCAAGGGGTTCACCTGGGCAAAGGCATCGCTGAGGTGCTGGCCTGCAAAGAGCACATCATTGTGAGTGGTAAGAGGAAGACGCTGAGCCCTGTATGGCCTGTGCCCAGTCCCTGCAATGCCCAGGTCCCAATTTCATGGCTCTTTGCTGGCCCCCAACTGCTTTCCTGTATGGCATAGGTTGGTAGGGGCCACTATGGGAAAAGTAGGAAGATGCTCTGCCAGGTGGATGGAGCAAAATAAGCCTGGACACCTCTTGGCAAGTCCCAGGGGGCATAACCTCCCCCCACAGCACACCCCTCCGCAACACAGCTCAAGGTACAGGGCATGATGCTATATCCAGGCCTTCATATACACCCTACCCATCTCCTTTGCATCATCAGCAACTTCATGAGCTCATATTTGGGGTGTCCCAAGATTCAGGTGCAGGGTGGCTGAGCTGTGACTTCCTACAGTGCCCTAAGTAAAGCCACCAAACACAGAGAAGTGGCCTTTTCCTGATATTGATTTAACTGCAACCAACTTCTACAGGCCCTTCTGTGTCCTCTTGCTCACCTTGCCCTAGGCACCGGGGACACTGAGCTGGTCCTGCCTTTAGGCTGTGCTGGAGCTTGAGCAGTAACATTCTGGTCCTACCCACAGTCCCCAAAAGTTTCAGCCCAGTGTCCCATCCCTCACTCCCCACAGGATCCTAGCCTCCGCTTGAGTTTATGTGAGAGGTTTCTGCTCCTACAGATGCACCCAGAGAGAAGCTTCTGAATGGCACGTAAGTCTCATCCCTGCCTGCTCAACAGCCTTCAGTGGCTCCCCCACACCCCAGGGTTGGGGAAAGCTTCTGAAAGCCAAACACAATTGCCTTAACCCTCCAGCCTAAACCACACCCACCACCCTCCCTTTTCCCTCCCTTTGAGTTGTTCCTTCACTAAGGATACCCTCCCTCCTCTCCTGGTGAAACACATCTCCGTCTGCACCCTGCCTCTGTTTGACAACCTGGCTGGGGCATCCCTTTGTCTTCATGCCCTCTCTCCTGCCCCACACTCTGCAGAGTTTACCCCTAGGCAGGACATGTGGCAGACAGTCCACAGAGGAGGCTGGGAAGAGATGATGAATCAGACAGAAAGTCAGGCCATCGCAAAGGTGAAAAGGCATGGTGGAGAAGTGTGGGGTGGAAGGCTCAGCCAAGAATCATCCTACTTTTCCCCCAAGCAATACATGGATTCTACACCCAAATGCCAGGACTTGGTGTGCCAGTTGTGTCTTGGGGCCTTGGAGGCCTGCCAGAGAAACAAATCCTCCTACTCAGGGTTCACCGAGTCTCCCAAATGCCCCTGCCATTCCCAGTATACCCCATGGAGTGACCCCTCCCCGTCAGGAATAAGAGAAACACAGGGCAAGATGAATAAAGGCAAAGCTTGAGGAGGAGGAGGAAGGGATAGGAGGAGACTCCAGTGCACACTGGGCCAGTGCAGACAGCAGGGCTGGAAAGTGGGTGCAGTGCCTGCTGTTGCAAAGTTTCAGCAGTTGGAGACCACAGAGGGGGGACTGGACTCTGTCCCAGTCTCTAACTTGGCCGCCTTAACGCCTCTCCTCCTGTCCTCATCTCTTTTCCAAAGGTCCCAGGGGCACCCCTTTCTTGGCCAGCTCTCTCCATCTTTCCTCATGCCCCCGCCTCCCGCTCCCCGCCCCCCTTTATTTGGCCTCAGCTGAGCCCTGGCCTCTGTTCTGTGGGCCCAAGCGGAGTTTGGGGGATTACAAGAATCCCAGGCCTTCCCGGTGGCTCGCCTTTTTTCCGAGATCGCCCCAGGAAGGAGGTGGCGCAGGGAGGGGTCCCCCTAAGCGATGTCTGGCCTCCAGGGTCCTCCCCGACCTCTCCGGGGCCGAAACCCCGCCCGGCCCACCTTTGAGCAGCTCCACGGTGCGCAGCTCCAAGGGGATGCCGTTCTTCTTGGCGAAGATGTAGACGGCGCGGCAGGGCTGCGACAGCAGGTCCAGGTAGAGCTCCAGGCCCATGGCGGGGTCGGGGCACCAAACTCGCGACCCAAGGGGCACAGCAAACCGAACTCTGAGACGTGGAACAAGATTTGGCAACGTGGCCACGCCCCCTGGAGGCCGCTCCCCATTGGGCCGCTCCCGGCGCCTGAACACTTTGGTCCAATGGCTGGTGCCACTGGGGCGTGTGAGAGGGGCTGCGGCCAGGGGCTCAGGGCCCAGCCAGAGGGGTGGTGATGGGGTGGTCACCCCTCCAAGTGTCGCGCTAAGGCTTCCGGTCCCAGTCTTTTGTGACAGGTTCACTGAATTTAGAATAATGGCTTCAAGTTTCATCTATTGGCATGAATGAGAATTTCCTATCGTCCCCATTTCACAGATGAGGAAATTAAGGCACAGGAGTGAATACAAACCCAGAAAGTTTTCGGATATCCTGTTGTTTTTTTTTCCTTTGGATATACACCAGAAGTGGGATTGCTGTATTTCTTCTTATCATTTTAATGATGGAGAAACGGAGCCCAGAGAAGGAAAACAACAAACCCAGGGAATGTGACGCCTGTGCTGACAAAAGCAGGAAGACCAAGGCTGTCAAATTCCAGGGTGTGCAACTGGAGTGAAATGAGCTGTCACGAAATGCTGACCATGAACCCCAAGGCTTTGACACTTGCTAGCACCAGGATCTATGGAGTGTGGGGCTAAGAGCATAGAGTCTGGAGCCAGACTTTCTGGTTTATTCCATTGTGTTCAGAGAACATACACTGCTATGATTTTGATTTGTTTAAACTTAGATTTTATGGCTGAGCATATGGTCTATCATGGAGAATATTCCACATGCACTTGAAAAGAATGTTTATTCTGCTGTTCTTGAGTGTCCTGTGTGTATATATAGTAGATTCGATTGATTTATAGTGTTGTTCAGGTCTTCTATTTCCCTGATGATCTTCTGATCATCGCTGATGTCTCATTATTCTATGCATTATTGATAGGGGAGTATTGAAGTCATCGACTATCACTATTGACAGTTTAACATATTTAACCGTTAATTTTTAGATTCTTTGGGAAGCTGGGAGGACCCACTCCCACCCACTTCCACATCAGACCCTATGCTCACACCAATTGTTGCAGGCTCAGCAGCCACGGTGGTTGTTCCAGTTCTTTATTAGGCAAAGAAACAGTTGTTTTCAGCATCTGTCCCAAGGAAGGAGGCTCAGAGAGCCTACGTGAACTTGCGCAGCATCTCACTGATCCTGTCTTTGACCATCGGATCCAATGTTGAACAGTCCCACTCTGCCAACTTCACCAGCCGGTTGTGGGCCTCCCAGAAGAGGTTAGAGCCAATGGTTAGTTCCACCCTCATGCGCCATTCGGCCAGCTTGGAGCTGGTAAGGAAGACATTGTAGTTGCCCCCCATCGGCTGTGGATGACAAGGTGGAAGGCATAGTAAATCTGGGGACCAGCCCCTCATGGCTTTCCTCCTACAGCCTCAGTTAGTCTGCTGATTCCCGAGGCCTGGACAAGGGCTCACAGGCTCTGTAATAGATGTGGTATGGGGATGGAAGATCCAGAATTCCCAGGGTTCTTGGTCACTGGTCTTGCTCCAAGGCTCCTAATTCCTCTCTGAGGTGAGCCCTGGCCCAAGTGGCTCTTACTTTTTCCAGTGTGAAGCCTCCCATGGGTCCTGCCTTCTTTCAGAGAAACCTCTTGTCCCCAGATGAAGGTGGGAGGAATCACTCCCTCCCCCCCCCCCAATTTGAACCTCCC